TCTTCTCCAAGAAAAAATAAATCTCCTTTTTTCTTTTAACATTCTCTTTGAAAGGACTTGATTTTGATTCTTGGATGACTGACTGCAGCAATTGGAAAGAAAATGACTCTTTCTGATCCAGTTGGTTCCTTTGATTTGTGATAAAAAAAAAAAAAGAGATTTGTTTCCTTGTTTGATTTTGGGAAGAGACAAAGAGGTCAGTTTTGGGGTGAGGGAATCATCCACCTTTTCCGGGATTAGTCCGGTCTTGACAAAGAGCAATTTTCATTGAAAGCGATTCCTTGTTCTTACGAATTCCCAGTTTCCACTAGTAAATCAAGAAGGTTGTCAGACTCTCTAGAGAAGAAAAGACTGTGACGGTCAGAAGAAAGAACTCTTGCCTCCGATCGGGTCTTGGGCTAGTATTCTTTCATGGAATTCTATCTCTTGTTTGACGAGATCTTTGGGGTTGCTGAATTCTTTCCATTCTCATCGAAACCGAAGCCATGCAAGAACCACTTTTTCTATTGTGATTTTGCAGGAGAAGAATTCTTGTTAACCAGCCATGAAGTGAAGGCGAGCATCAAAAGTCTTGGTTTCAGAAGTTATAATCTTTATTTGCATCAATTAGTTTGCACAAAGACTCCTAAATCAATCCCGAGCCTTTTCTTCCACCTCTCCTTATAAGAAAAACTTGTTCAAAGATGACTCCTAGAGAATTACCAAAATAGAAGTTCGATTCTTTCTTTTCTATTTCTTCTCAAGAAGCAAATTCAGTCAATTCTTTGAGAGCTGCTTTACCGAGTGAAAGGAAAAGAGATTCTTTCTTTTTCTATTTCTTTGAATCGGAATTGATCGAAAGGAGTGACTTTCCCATATTATGTTCTGCTGGCTATCTTCTACAAATTTAACTCATCAAAACCAACCGCTTGGAATAATAAGTAAGTACAACGCGGTCTTGTCCTTCATCCGTGCTTCTTTCTGCATCCTGATGTCAATGACTCTCATGTCTTAGATTTGCTCCAATTCAGTGTAACCTTCCAAAACCACGTTCCATACATCTTGCGCTCCGAGCAAGGCTTGCATCTGAATGCTCCATCCAATTGTTGTAGTTCGACTTCACCAGACGGGGCAGCAGTACACCACCTAATGACATCTTCCCAGAACCCGCCATTGATTTTTGCCTCTGATACCACTTTGTTTGTTGGAGCAAGGTCAAATTTGGATGGAAAGGGGGCAGAATTCTCTCAACACTCAAATCTGTCTTTTTGGAGAAAGAGATGTATTCTTTTCTGAAGTTGAATTGAGTAGTATCAAATCTTTACATAGGTGATCCTTATATAGGTCTTCTTTTGGAACATCCTCCATGGCCATTCATGTAACAAATCTGAAATAATGAATCTACCTAATACATCTACTAATCATTATGGTGATTCATGAATAATCTAATACCTGTATCCAATGAACCTCATTTTCCAAATCTGTCCATGTGCACCCACCCAGTGCATTATCCGTTTATGAATTAACATGGTGAACAACAAGTCTCACAAAGAAGAAGAGAAGATTCAGTCTAACAGCTGGTCTTGGGGATAAGAGTAGATTGATGAGTGATCCCCTATGAATCAGGGAAGGTAGGACATGATCAACCTTAACCTCTATTGGATGAAGCAACCATATAACTGACGATATTGATTTAGTAGCGAGACCCCTTACACTAGCCCGGGCATCATCGCTGTCTTAGCGCGATTAGTCTGTAGCCAAAACAGAGTAGATTCAAATGGAGGGATGTGAAGAGAAATTCAATCAATGACACCACACCAGACCAACCAGAAAGGGAAAAAGTAGCTACCATTTCACTTTTCCTTTACATGCTTTCCCCTGTAACCAACTCATATTTCACTATCAACAAGAAAGAGAGGGTGAAGTGAGGCTGAGGGAGGAAAAGAAAGGGTGTCAGGGATGAAAGAAAGAAAAAGTACCCAATAAAGAATAGAGACAATAGATCACGTAGTCCCAGAGTCAAATACCGAACCTTAATATACCTCGGATTCATCCTTTGCCCTTACTAAATTATCCCAGACAGACGGAAAGAAATCAATCTGCCAACCTTCCAGCTTAGAGGGAAAAGCACCGCACTATTGCATCATATGAATTTACACATTTTTTTTTCTTTTGTTGGAGACCTCCTAGGCCCACTTCCCCCGAAAAACCGCCTGTTTAGCAATCGAGCCACGAGGACTGCCAGACTCTCACCCCCAGCCCGTAGTATGTATAGTAGGTAAAGGTATAGAATAGGTACAGCTATAGAATAGGTACAACTAGCTTTTCATAGCCATTCTAATAGGTACAAGCTTTTTCAGAGACATTATAATAGGTATAGCTTTTCCTCGAGAAGCACAAAGACTACCGTCAGGGGTAAAGGAGGGAATTGTGTAAACTCAAATAAATATCTTTTCATTGATTTAGTGGAAATCTGATATCAATCTTTAAACCTAACTTAGATATTTTTTCATTGATCGAGTTGAAGGCAAGTCGGTTTGGTATAGGGAGACTCCGGCCGGAATTGTTTATACATAAAGGTGTGGAGCACGACTCTATAATCTTTAAACATAACTGGGTATCTTTCTCTATTCCCTTCCCTTATTGAACAAGGTAAATAGGCTTCTCTCCTTCACCTTTACATGAAAGTCCATTCATTAGCAGCTTCTTTGAAAGACTCAACAGAAAGATGAATGAAAGTGAACTCCTTTTCCTATTTCTTCTTTCTCATTCACCTTTCCAACTCGGTCTCACAATTCCATTGCTGATCCTCGTAAACTATCAGTCTGTTTGCTCCATTGCTTGAACCTAAGAAAGATTAATAGACGAAAAGTATAACATTACCTTAATATATAACATCAGTATAATACCTTACCTTATAATAAAGATTCTGAACTTGAACATTAACAAAGATTATGAACTGCAGCCCGGGTATCTTTCTCTATTCCCTTCCTTCCCCAGAACCGATATTACCTCACCTGAACCTATTTACCGAGATAAAGAGGTGAAAGAGATAGTTCAAGGAGAAGAAATTCATTAGTTGTTTTACAGGACAGGAAAGAAAAGAAAAGAAGACGAAACCTTAAACCTTTGATTGACTGATTGAACGAGTTTACTGTGTTTGAATAAATGAATTAGCCGCTTTACTGGAGAGGAAAGAAAAGAAAAAAGACCAATAAATAGGTGAAAGAAAGAAAGAAGGAAGAAAGGAAGAAGACGAAGATAGAGTTTATAGTGAAAGAATCAATAGAAAAAGAAAAGAAAGAGAAGCTCATTCACCTTATATATACAGTCGAGTAGATGAATAAAATTTGAATTGAAAGATGAAAGCAAGACAAGAAAGATGAATTCTCCTGCTCCTGCTCCTAAACCTGATCTTGATCTTGAACCTTCAAGTGTTGAAAGGAAAGACGAAAGAAACTAAAGCTTAATTAGACTTTACAGTGAAAGAAAGAAGGGAAAGAGAAGGGAGACTCCTTATGAATGAGAGTGAACTACTGAACCTGAAAGTGTTGAAAGGAAAGACGAAACTCAAGAAGAATTAGACAGAACAGAACTGGACTATTACTGATGAACCTTCCCCTGAACCTATATTCCCTTCACTCCTGACCCTATTTCTTCAAACACTGTAAACAAAGATCAATACCCATTCCCTTATTCATGATCCTTAAAGAACCGTTTCTTTGAAAATTCTATCCTCTGTCTATTTTTTTAGATAAAATCTCGGTAAAAGAGGTCAAAATCCCTTGTTCAAGTCTGAAGGGAGACGAAAGCAGAATTAGACTGAACCAGAAGGAAAGAGTAAATGAATTAGCTACTGAACCTGAAAGTCTTTCAAGGAAAGACATGAAAGAACAGATTCGAGACAAGACAAAGAGAAAGACTCCTTATGAATGAGACTGAACCGGAACCTCTATTCCCTTTGCTACTGATGAACCTTTACAGTGAAAGAATGAATTAGCAGCTTTGAAAGACGAAACGAAAGAGGAATGAGACAAATTGAACTCAAACCTGAACTTGAAAGTGTTTCAAGGAAAGACGAAACTCAAGATTCAAGGTCAAGCTCAATCACTACTGAACGAACTGAACTTCTGAACTCAATCACCTCGGCTTCGCTCCTCTCTGTCTTAGCCAAGCTAGCTTTGTTTGTTTTATTCCCTTCTTTCACTCTTAAGGACCATTTCTTTGAAAAGTCTATCTCCGGTATATTTTTTTTTTGATAAAATTGATGCTTTACCCTTTTTTTTTTTGGCTATTTTGGGATATAGGTAATTCTATATTAAGTCAAGACTAACGATGCATTCTTCTTTTCCTATTTATTCAACCACTGTAAACAAAGTCGAAACCGACACCCTTTTCCTATTTATTCTTTCACAAGGTAAAGTAGCTAAGATTACCTTCCTTATTTGACTCGGGTTTCACTATTCGAGAACTAGGTAAAGCACCTTCTTTCACCTATTGATTCTTGAACGAGGTAAATAAGCTTCTCTCCTGATCCTTTAAAGACCATTTCTTCTAAAAGTATATCTTTTATCTAGGGATATTTTCCTTGATTTCACTCTTGAACTCTCCTGTAAAGACTCAAAAAACAAGAATGATCCTATCCTCTGTCTTTTTTTTTTTTTTTTGGATAAAATCCTATCCTCTGTCTATTTTTTTTTTTGGCTATTTTTAGTAGAGGTAATTCGGCATAAGTAAAGGCTCAAGAGAAAACCTTTGACTGATTGAACTCAGTAAACTCATTAGCTACTGAACCTGAAAGTGTTTCAAGGAAAGACGAAACAAGAAAGAGATTGAATTCAATCACTACTTAACCTATTTATTCTTGAACGAGGTAAAGCATATTCAATCCTTCTTGAACATATTTCTTCTTTCACTCGGTAAAGAAGTAGCTCTTTGATTGAACTCAGTAAAGCTATTTTACGGTCGGTCTCGAATCTGTTCATTCCTTTTCCCTTTTGAACTCAGTAAAGCATATTCAATCCTTCAAACACTCTGTAGGACCATTAATTACAAAATGCTATCTTCTGTCTATTTTTTTTTTGGATAAAATCGTCCATTTTCCCTTATTTTAGGAGGTAAACAAGGATCGGTTCTGTCTATTTTTAGGGCTATTTTTTAGTAGAGGTAATTTTGCATAAGTCAAGACGAAACAAGAAAGAGACTGAACTCAATCACTACTTAACCTCTCCCTTTCAAAAGAAAGTCAAGACGAAAGAAACCGACACCCTTTTCCTGATTGAATGAGGTAAATAGATAGTAGTCTTTCTCCTTCACCTCGACTTCTTCTTGATCTTCTCTTTTCCTTGATTCTACTTTCAAGACTCTGAAAATGAAAGAAAGATTTGCTCTTGAACCTGGTTGAATAGGCTTTGATTACGTCCTTCTTCACCAGAACCTTCAAACACTGTAACCTCGGTTTCTTTTCTTTCCTTTTATTCTGCTTAATAAGACTCAACTCCTTATTCGATAGATTGAACTCAATAAAGCTATTTGAATGCGACAGAATAGGACTATTACTGATGAACCTTCTTGAACTCGGTAAAGCGTATGTCTTCCCTAGACGGAGTAGGTTGAGTAAGCATGAGTACGCAAAAGGAGACTCAACAAGAATGAGACTGAATGAACTGAACTACCGAATTGATATTACCTGACCGGATGGATTGAAGGATGTAAACAAGGCGAGTTGCTTTGCTTCATCCCTGAACCTCTATTATTACCTTCTCGGATGGATTGAAGGAGGTAAACAAGGCGAGCTGCTCTACTTCGCCCCTCTCCTCTCCTTTATAGTCGAGCCGCTTCGCGCCTCTTCTCGTCTCTTCTCTTCTCTTCAGTAAAGGTTTCGGAGAAAGATTCAATAGGAAAAGGAGTTCAATCATTCATCTTTCGTTCTTTGATTTGTGATTATGATTGGATTTCCTCTCTCTCCCTACTGACTCATTAACCTCTCCAACTCTATCTTCGTCTTCGCTCCTTCTTTATTCTTTCACTGTAAACTCTGTCTTCGTCTTTGCTCCTTCAATTGCCAAGTCAAAAGTCTGGTCCGAACAAAGGCATTATATGCAAATTCAAGCTTTCTTTCTCATTTAACCATTCAAGGCGACTTAGACCACTTAGTAGGACCTTCTGGCTTACAGGAGACCTTCCATGGTTGATATATCTTTCTTTCTTTCGAGATTGTCTGGTTATCCGAGAACTGGCTTAGAGGAGACCTTCCATGGTGGATATCTTCCGAGACTGTCTGTTTATCCGGGAATGTGACTCTTTGTTTCCCAATCCTTATAAGGAGGAGTACAATGTCCAAATGTTCAATCGATGCTACTGTCACTAAGGGAATAGCTCCTTAATTCCTTCTTGTCTCACTCACTTACTTAGGCTTTCTTCCTTCCCTTTTTTCTCGACTAGTTCATCAATGGTAAAGTTTCTGTCCTACCCCTTCCTTCGGGGGACCTAGTTGCTTTCTCCAAGTGAGTTTGGTATTTAGTAAGGGAGCAGGCAATAAGAACCTTTCTTACGTAATCCAATCCATCACAAAAGACTAGCTTCGGGTTTATCCACGCCATAGAGATGGAAGATTTAGAGATCGAGGTTGCCACATCAAATCAGTCATGCTTAGACGAATTTTTCGATGCACAGTCGGGGTAGGCTTCTCTAATTGCAAAAATCGCTCTATTCCCTTTGCCTTTTAGGAGTAGAAGTAGCACTATTTGACTTCTTTTTATGGTTGGGAAGACTTCGCAACAGGTCCTACGTGGATGCCCGACAGCTTCAACAATTCTTTGAAAGGCTCTACTTATATTATACGACAACCTTCTAAAATCGAGTTCACTCACCCATGCCCTTGGCTTACCTGCCCAATTGGCTTGAAGCATCTCCTGATGTCTGAAAAGATGTTCTATCGCATTCTTTTAGATATCCCCACGTGTGAGACTTTCTCATTTAAGCAGCTTCTCAGCTAAGGGCTTTGGGAGGCCAGGAAGGGTAGAATATACTACTATAAGGGCTTCCACTTCTATTTTCAAAAGGAGAAGTAAATTCAAGGGGTATTCCAATCCTCTAGAAAAGAAGAAAGTAGCACTTTAGTGATTCAAAGTTCTTTACTAACTCAGTGTCGATCTCTAAACGCCTAATCTCATGACTGGTTAAGAAAGCAAAGCTCACTCTCTCTCAAGCTAAGGATAAAGCTCCACCTCTTTCACCTTTCTTTCATTTGCAGCTAGTTGAGCTTTAGCGGGCATACCTGTGTGAGGCATTCCTCGAGGAGAAAGGCATTTCCTCGTCTTGGTCCAGTAGTTGAGCTTCTTTTCACCTAACCGTCTGCCTTCTTGTACTGATGTTTTTGTCTTGTTTCGATTTCCCAGACATCAGTGATTTGGAACATTACTTAGGCTATCCCTCGGTTTTTGAATGTAGGAAGATTCCATCATAAGGGGATTACTGGTCTACTAGTATGATTGTAGGAGACTCTTCTTATCTTATTGGTCAATCAAGCTTTCAAGACTGACTCTTGTGGGGACAAAAGTAGAGCTTTTTCGGGTTATTAATGTAAACTGCCAACAACCTTCTGTGCTTGCTATAAAGAAGTCTTTCTTCTCAATCCAAGCACTACGCCTTCCCATCCGAGTGACATAAGCCTTTCCCTGCAAGAAGATCAAAAGTCAAGGTCTTCAATAGTAGTATAGTAGGGAACATCTCACAACCAGCAAGCGTATTCACGTCAACATTGACGCAAGCGAAGAAACTAGTGAGCCGATTCAAGTAAGGGTGTCTGTGTAACACATATCAAAGCATCTGTTGCCAAGCCTAATATCAATCAGATATATCTGTCCTATGTTAGCTGCTTGCCCAGGACATGGGTTGGGCTTAGAGTCTGTTTCTGGTCTGTAGTAGGTTTATTTCTGAATATCTCTCCTTTGAATGGCGTAGATCTTCGTAGTACCAGTGGGTCAGGATTGGCGTATGGGCAAGAAGAATCAGTCTTCCTTTCATGTCAGTAGTCAGGTAACGAAATGACATTAGGAGCGATCGCCAAGTCTATGCATAATACTATGTGTTAATCTGAGGGCTAAAAAGCACGGTGACAAGATCTTTCTCACTTCTATGCTTTTGCTGCTTTCTTAGATGCTTACAAAAAGGATGTCTTTAGATTGACTGACTTTCAGATTGGATTCATCCACTTGACTTTAGAACTCCTGACCAATAAGACTAAGGGCTAAACCCATTTTGCTTTTCATAAGGCGCGAGAGTGAAGAGAGTCTTGTATTCAATGTCGCCAGCGCGTACGTGAGGAAAGCCTCTAGAGCCGATAAGACGAAAGGATGAGAAGATTGATTGGTCAATCAAGTTATATCTATCGTTCTTTAGCCTTTGTCGGGCTATTTAACTCACAAAACGGCTGACGAATGGAGTAGTTGACTCGATCATTTATCCGTCTAAGTCTCCTACTCTTATGGATACGTTCTATGATATATCCAAAGAAAGAGTGGCGGCCTCTAATTGATAGAAATCTGCCCTTGATTGGCTCCACTCCTTTGTGTCAAGGAATTACGTGGAGTCCGTCATGAAAGCTCTTCCTTCTCAGAAAGTCGATGGCAGAAAGATAGTAGTATTTTGACTACTTTCCAAGTGGAACTATACTGGTCCCATTCACTTTGGTTTAGGTTTCTGACCTATTCATTGGAGTGGTTATCCAGTTTGGTCTGACTTTATCAATCAGGTATCCTTTGTGATTCATCTCAAAAAATGATATCGGATGAATCATGTAAGGAATCGTTGCGCTTCATTCGCGATGCTGTAGCGGAACCCGATATTCTGACTACCCGAGGAAATCTTCTTGGTAGGTAAGGAAGATTGGCTTATTCCACTGATGCGGTTCCCACTCTAAGTAGGAAGTCATCGCCCACTCTCTTCCTAGAAATCCCACTAAGAAAGATATAGAACCCTTAATCAAAGAGATGAGACAAATTTCAGCCTTTCCATATGGGGCATGGGTCCGTTCAAAAAAAGGTCTTAGATCACTTTGCGGATGGGGGCTATCTGTGCCCAGACCCGTTGAGAGATCCCGATCCTTATCTTAGGCGGGATGACCTAGTCGAGAGAGTATGATACATCTGTATAAAAGATTGAACTATGGTTTTAACAAGGTGGAATCTGAAAATAGACAGAACTACATGGATGGGGTTTGATTTCGAAGTAGAACTAGATAGATATGTAGGCAAGTGAAATAAAAAAGAAAGAGGACCCCAGCCCCACACAGGTGTATGCATTCAGTCTCAGTAAAGATGCAGTGGAGGGCAGTCCTTTGTCACGGTGAGTCTCATCTTTGTGATACGAGTCAATTCCTTGAAGCCCATGATACATTCTTTTTTACCTAAGCTCAAATCCATTTCCTATACTATGACTAATTCCAATACGAACAGTATTCAGTACAATTCCCCCGTGAGTTCTACTGGCTCTCAACTCATACCAAAAATCATACACGTGGGTGTACTGTCGACTATTGATTCAATTCCCGAAAACCTAACACCAGCAAGCAAGGAAAAGATAGTTGGCTAGGGTCTCTCTCTCTATTTGCAGTTCCGTTCTGACTTTCCTTTGGCAGAGTGAAGTGACTTTGATTTCCTACTTTTCTTAGTCTTCCACTTCCTTTCCCTACTCTTTGTAAGTTTGTTTGCCAATGCGTGCTTTTCTTTCTGGGCAACACCATGCTAAGATCGCTTATTCCGCGTATTCCATACCAATTTGCATCTTGCATGCCCTACTGATAAGAATCACGGTGTTCCAAATGGATCTAACGCACGAAGAACTCAATTAATTTCAAGTCTATCGCATTAGCCACTCAAGCACATCAACATTTGTTAAAAAAAAATGTTTAATTTCATAAATTATGTTAAAGTCAAATGGTCAATTTGACTTATTCTTTGTGGAGATTAAAGGGGATCGGGAATAAATCCCGTTCACAAACATCTCGAATAAATCCTGTCCACAAACGTCTT